GCCTCCCCATCCACATCCTCCCCACACACCATCTGGCGCAGCACTCTTTCCTTGGCAGCAGCTTCACTCGCTCGTGGTTCGCCTTTTCCCCACTCCCTCTCCGCTGTCAGGTAGTCCTGGACAGGGTTCGTGGCGCCCAGCGGCTGCCCGGGGTGGACGAGATCCTGCTGCCCGGGGAGCGGGGCAACCGCAAGGCAGCTGTACGGCTGGCGGCCGGAGTACTGCCGCTGGAGGTCAACATGCTGAGTCAGCTGAGGGCCCTGGCGGCCAAGTACGACAATCAGGGCTCCCCGCCCGCCTCCCCGGATAAGCTGGCGGTGGCCACTCGGCTGGTTCACCCCAAGAGCAAGGCAAGGCGGGGCGGCGGGTGCAGGGGGTGGGTTGTTAGGGGGACGGGGGGCACAGTCGAGGGGCGCGCTGGTGGTGTTTTTCACAGGTACATAGGAGTCTGCGGTTTTGCTTTCTTGCGGTTAAGGTTCCTCTGCTGTCCCTCACCTCCCAGCCAACATTACCCCTCCCGCCGCACGGCACCGCACGGATCGCATCCCCCCCCCCCTGACACCCCTCCTGGGCCAGGTGGTGGACCCGTACGGCGGCTCCATGCCGCCGCTGTGGCAGACCGCCACCTTTGCCCAGCCCTCCGCCACCACATTCGGGGAGTACGACTACACGCGCAGCGGCAACCCCACACGGACCATGCTCGAGGTACGGCGACGAGGAGCAGCAGTGGCTGATCTTTGCTGGGGATGGCACGGTACCCCTCCAGTGACATGCTGCTGTCGGTGTAGCTGAACCCCCCCTCGCAGCTTCTGCTCGTGCCACCATCAGCATCATGTGATTCCCACCCCACCCCAATTCCCAAACCCCCTACAAAACACCCACCCACCCACCCACCGTGCAGGAGCAATTCGCCGAGTTGGAGGGGGGCGACCGCGGGTTTGCCTTCACCAGCGGCATGGCGGCCCTGGCAGCTGTGTGCAAGCTGGTGGGGTCCGGGGACCACATCCTGGCCGGTGAGGACATCTACGGGGGCACCAGCCGGCTGCTGGCCCAGGTGGTGCCCGCGGCGGGGGTCGGTGTCACCAACGTCGACATGACGGACCTGGAGTGAGTCAGCAAGGCTCCGTTGGGAGGGGGTGGGAAAGGGGGGAAAAGGAGATACCAGGGAATAGGGGGTGAAGGAAAGGGATGGAGGAGGGGGGAAGGTAGGGGGGTAGCGGCTGGCGAGTCCTCTGTCTGTGGGAAGGGAGCAGCACACCACAGCACATCCACATGCTGCTGTTGTTGCCGCCCCGCCCTTGTCCCCCGCGCGCACCGCTCCTCAGCGCCGTACGTGCCGCTCTCCAGCCGGGTCGTACCAAGCTGGTGATGGTGGAGTCCCCCACCAACCCGCGGATGCAGATCTGCGACATCGCCGCCATCGCCGCCCTGGCCCGGGAGGTGGGGGCCATCACCTGCGTGGACAACTCCATCATGGCGCCAGTGTTCCAACGGCCCTTGGCGCTGGGGGCGGACATCAGCATGACCTCCGGGACCAAGTTCGTTGGCGGCCATGGCGATGTGACGCTGGGGTTGCTCAGTGTGAAGGGACAGGAGCTGGCGAAGAGGGTGTACTTCTTGCAGGTGGGTGAAGGGCGGGAGGGGGGAGGGGTTGCGCGCTGCCGTTATAGCGTACTCGCTGTGTGGACGGGTGCTATGCGCGTCGTGTGTTCGTGCGCGTGCGTGGA